TTGTGAACATCTAAAGGGGATAATACAATAAGCTGAACTTTCCAACCTATTAGATCTTGAGATCTTTCCATTTGTTTTTATTCTATTCTTAGTATTCTAATGACTTATCTCCAAGACACGGTCCTTGGAAGGGGAAGTTTGTTAGACACTGGATGCCAGGACCTTCCCTGACTCACTAAACTGTGAATAATATTTCTTCTTTTGGGGTCTACTTTTTCTATGGAGTCTACTTTTGGGGGGGGCTCAACTTTTTATCTGCAGCTTTCTTTTGATTGGTATTTATATGAATATCTTTTCCATCTCTTATTTTTAATCTGTCTAAATCCTTACATTTAAGAGTTTCTTGCAGATTGCATAAATATTCTCAGCTGACAATGTCTGCTTTGGTTGACAAGGCCTGATTTTTCAGTAGGATGTTGAGACTATTTATATTTAATGTAAGTAAATACAGTTGGATTAAAAGCTGTCTTTTCCATTGTTTTCTAATTGACAATTTGTTTTTCCCTGTTCCTTGCTTTTTTTAGATTATTTTATTGTTTTATTTTATTTTTTATTTAGATTTTATTTAATCATTTGTTATTCTATTTTTATTTAAAAAATTTAGTTTATTTTCCTCCTCCTCCTCTTCCTCCTCCTCCTCCTCCTTCTGCTCCTCCTTTGCCTCCTCTTCCTCTCCCTCTTCCTCCTTCTCCTTCTTCTTTTTGTGAGCCTCACTGTTAACCCCGGATGGGCTGGAGCTTGCTTTGTATCCCAGGCTGACCTCAAACTCATAATCCTCCTGAAATTAGGCATGTACGGGATTATGCATGGGCCACAATGCTCAGTTTGTTTTAGTTCTTTTAAAAAGATTTTAATTTTTTCTAAGGTTTACAATATATATTTTTAACATATTACATCCTATTTCAAGTGCTATTGAGACATTTAAGTTCATGACCTGAGGCCTATCGTATACTTCCATTTTTTCTTTCATTCTTTGTATTATTGATGTACATTTTAATTCTAAGATGATATAAATCTCATACTGCTTATAACTTTTACTTTAGATGGTTATCTTTTAATGAGATTGAAATAATTGCAAAGTTGACTTATTTTTCATTTTTATAATTTCTAGGACTATGTATCTTTGTGTCTTTATAAGAAGTACTTAAATTACTTTCTTACTAAGAAACATTAATCACTTACGTGTGCCCACAAATTAATTAGAGAATAAAAGCCAGGCACTTCTGCCTCCATTTTTTAAAATATATGTCCTTTGCTCCAACCCATCCTCTCCTTCAGTCATTTTGCAGCCACTGTAAACACCAGGTAGAAGCATACCATCACGTGACAAATATTAATAATTCTTATTGTCACAAGCCCCACTTGACCAGTCCAGAGAAGATGAGTTGTCAGACTGCCTCCTGCCATCTCTGAACTATGCATCTTTTGCTCCTTGTCTCCAGTTCTGTATTTAAACTTGTATCTCATGTTGAATTCTGTTGAAGATAGAACAAAATGCTGTCATTCTATTGCTTGGGCACCACATAATTAATCTTTTTCTGCCTTTCTCCCTGTTCTTTATTTGGTGAATAAAGATGAATGGCTGAACTTGACTTTTGAAACTCCTGCAATTTGGATGTGAGGTCTAAAACCTCAGTTTCATATTTACACAGTTTCCATTTACTATATTCCTTTAGTATGAAGACTTCCTTTTAAAGTTAGTTGTTTTTATTTTTTTCCCTTTTTTTGGGTCCAGTCATGGGGCCTGAACTCTGGGCCTGGGCTCTGTCCCTCAGCTCTTCAGCTCAAGGCTAGTGCTCTATCACTTGAGCCACAGCGCCACTCCTGGCTTTTTTCTTTTTGCTTATGTGGTGCTGAGGAATTGAACCCAGGGTCGCATGCATGCAAGGCAAGCGCTCTGCCACTGAGCCACCTTCTCAGCCCTAAAGTTACTTTTTAATAGTAAAAGTCCATTGGAAATAGGAGGAGGGAAGCAACATTTGTCTTCACTTTTGGAAGATATTATAGTTGGGTATACAGTTCTGGACTGGTAGTATTTTTTCTTCCTCTCTATCAAAAACATCAATCCATCCTCTGTAGCTTATAGTCTCCGACAAGTTTTGATAAAGTTTTATTATTACTATTTACTAAGACTCTCTATGTAAATAACAATGTAAATATTTGGCACATTGTTTCTTGACCTTTTATTTCTCATATCAGACACCAGGAAACTCATAGCCACTTGACAACCTACCTGTGCCTTTTAAAGAAAAGAGTGCCACCAAAAATTAAAGCAAATCAAAATGAATGTAGTGAAGGCAAAAAGCTGTCTCTCAGGAGGCAAGTACCTAACCAGGAGAACTAAAGAATTGGGGACAATGACGGAATGAAAATAATGGCTTGTTTTTTTAATCACCATCCTTTGTTTGTTTTTAACACAATCCTGAAGAGTCCCTTGAAAAGAGGAAACCGTTTTGAACTTTGAAAAAGCCATTTATGGCCAGGCACCAGCATGCATGGTGACATTATGGTAGGCACATCAAGAAGAAGAAGAAGGGGCTGGGAAGGTGGCTCAGTGGTAGAGCGCTTGCCTTGCATGCCTGAGGCCCTGGGTTCCATTCCTTAGCCCCACATAAGCAAAAAGAATAAAAGCCGGAAGTGGTGCTGTGGCTCAAGTGGTAGAGTGCTAGTCTTGTGTGGAGAGCTGCGGGAGCTGCGACCAAAGACGGCTGCAAAAGCAACATTGTAGCTAAAATGGCAGGGCCGCATGGTGCAGCTGCGACCTAAGATGGCGCGGGCTCCCGCCTTCCGTCTTCCCCGTGACGAGTGCTCTCTGTAAAAAACAACTCCTTATATGGCTATGACTTGGCTCTTAGTTTGCTTCCGTATTTGCAGCCCTATCAGTATATGCCACGTGGCGCTTCAGGATTGGCCATCCAGGAGGCTTATAACCGGAGCGCGGGGGCGGAGGGAAGGAGAAACAAGGAGAAAGCAAGAGAAACAGGAAGAAGCAGGAAGAAGCGGGTAGGAGAGAAGTAGGAGAAAAGAAGCTGTAAACAAGGTCCTGAATAAACCGTCTGAAAGAAGAACCTGTTGTCGCGTCATCCTTGCGGGTCGAGGCGGTCGGGACAGTCTTGAGCTGAAGAGCTGAGGGACAGTGCCCAGGCCCAGAGTTCAGGCCCCACGACCAGACCCACCCCCCCCCCCAAAAAAAAAAAGAAGAAGAAATTACAGAAAGCCAGAGAGATTCAGGAGCCAGACTCACTGAACCAAACAGCTTTCAATTGTACTATTGTTTATTCTTTGAATAAAAAGTTATTTCCTTTAAAATGAGATGTAATTCAGATTTTAAATTTTTTGTTATTATAAAGGCGATGTACAGAGGGGTTACAGTTGCATAAGTCAGGTAAAGAGTACATTTCTTTTTGGATGATGTCACCCCTTTCCTTCCTCTCTCCAATTTTTCCCTCTAATCCTCACCCACAAGTCGTACAGTTCATTTTCAACTTAGTGTCTAGTAAGTATCCCTGCTGCACTTTTTCATCCTTTGTCCCTCTAGCTTTGTAGCACCTCCCCCAAACATACAAATGAACAAACAGGCCAAACTAACTGGGGTGAGATAGAATCTCAGAGTTGTTTTGAATTGCATTTCCTTTATGGCTAGAGTTGAGGAGCATATCCTCACGTTTCTTCACCATTCTTACCTCTTCTTTTGAGAAGTGGCTCCTTAGTTCCTTTGCCCATTTAGTGATTTATTATGTTTGGGAGGGGTTTCTTGAGCTCCTTGTATATTTTGGATATTAGGCCTTTGTCACATGTATTGCTGGTAAAGTCTGTTGGCTGTCATTCTAGTATATTAACTATGTCCTTTGCTGGGCACAAACTTTAGTTTGATGTAATCCCATTGGTCAAGTCTCGCTTCTATGTGCTGTACCCCTGGTTCTCTTCAAAAGTTTCTGCCTATGCTTGTGAGTTGTGACTTCACTCCCTCCTGCAGTAGTTCAAAGATTCAGGTCTGATAGGTCTTTGACCCACTGTGAGTTGATATTTGTGCGTGGTGACAAACAGGCACAGGGAGGCCCAGTTTTCCCAACACTAATAATTGAAGAGGCTGTCTTTTATTCCATTGTAGATCTTTGGCTCCCTAGACCAGACCTGTTTTAAGGAAATACTTCTTCCTCCCCCTCCCCCCGAAAGACTCCTCCTTCTCCCTCTTTTTTGCTCCACCCCTCTCCCCTCCCCAGACAAACGGTCTGGGCCTGCAACGGCCTAGAGCGCCCCCTAGAGCCCGTCCCCCATCCTGCCCCGAGCCGGCCCTAGAGACCGGCGCGGGGACGGTCCCGCCCACTCAGGGGGCGGGGTCTCCGCTTTCCCGCGTCCGGCGTCCCCGCCCCGCCCCCTCTGGCTCTGGTTTCCGCCGCTTCGGGCCCTGCCGGACCCCGGGAGCCCCGGCGGGGATGCGTGCCCCGGGGCCGTGGTGGCTTCTGCTCTGGCTGTCGCCCCTGGCCACGCGGCCCTCGGGCGTCGAGCGCGAAGAGGCCACGGCGATGTCAGGTAACGCGGGCCCCCGGCCGTGGGCGACCCCGTCTGGGTGATGGGGTCACCGTGGGCGCGGCTCCTGCCGGGCCGGGCCCGGCCTTCCCGGCTTCCGGGACCCTGGTCTCTGCGGGCCGTGCACAGGATTGTTGGAAGTTCGGAGCCTGGTGGCGGCCAACACTCAGGAGACGGTTCATCCGTCCCGTCCCGTAACTAGGCCCTGCCGCAGCCGGCCCAGGTTCCAGACTTGCAGTGTGATTGTTGGCTCGTTTTCCCATTTCCTGGAATTCATTTAGCCAAATACCGATTCCGTGCGCCTAGGCAGCGTGCCCCTGTGCTCCTCTCCTGTGGTCTTAACTGTGGGTGAATGTCTAGGTTTTTGTTGTTGTGTAAATAGTTTCTCGGGTTGCATCTAAAACTTTATTACATCAACAGTTATTCTTTAAACTGAAGATTAGAGGAGGTAATCCTTCAGGTGTAGAAAGAGATGGAGAATCTCCTGGACCTGGCCGGTTGTTGTGACCTGGTAAGTGGTCACAAGTCATATACAGATAATGATACAGATGTTGATTTGTGATTTATGCACTATGCCTGCTTTGTGAGAAACAATGTCTGATATCCACTGGTAGGGTTGTAGTATGTTGGTGGGGTGCTCTCAAGATCTTGACACAGAAGGGGAAGTCACAAAATGCAGTTCTAATTACTTGTCATTTGTTGTAAGTTTAATGTTTACTTTGTCATTCAGTCCAAATGCAAGCTGTTGATGGCTCATGTATGCAATCCTAGCTATTCAGAAGGCCAAGATCTAAGGATCACAATTTGAAGCTAGCCTGGCTAGGAAAGTCTGAGATTACCATCTCCAATGAAACACAAAAATACCAGAAGTGGAGTTGTAGCTAAAGTGATGGAGTGCTAGCCTTAAGCAAGAAATCCCAAGGACGGTGCCCTGGCCCTGAGTCCAAGCCTCAGGACCACCATACACCTACTTTTCACAGATGCACTCACTACAAACTTGCACGTATTGCATTGGACATCTCTCGTGGGAAACCATTAGTATGAACTTTTAGCTGGACCCACACTGTTCCCAACAAAGTCTGGGTCCTTGTCTAAGGATGAAGGTGAGAATGGATGTTAAATAGGAAAGTTTTAGTTGCTACCACATTAAGTCTACTCTCAGGTCAGTCAAGTAGTTTGTTTGCTGCAAATTATGTCTTGGGAAACTCCTAGTTTTCATTGGACAGTACTGGGGTTTGAACTCAGTGCCTCAAGATTGTTAGGCAGGAGTTATACACTGAGCCACATCTCCATCCCTCTGCATTGGTTATTTTTGAGGTAGATTCACACTTGCTGTCTACTCAGGTTGCATGTCTGGACACCACAATTCTGTTTCTCACCATAGCCGAGAAATTGGTGTGTATCATAATGCCCTGCTTGTTTTGATAAGTAGGCTTTTCTACCGAAAGTCTGGCCTGGAATCACAGCCCTCTCAGTATCATCTTTCTTGTGCCTTAGGATGACAGGCCAGCTGTTGGTTGAGAAGGAATCTCAATCTTTTCTGTCTGACTCTATTCAAACTGCTATCCTCCTGTTCTTAGCCTTCTAAGTAGCTAAGATTATAGGTTTTGGGTGTTTTACTAGGCATTAGGCAGCTAAAAGTGTCTCAATCATTGTCTGACCATTTAATAGCCTGATAGGGGTAGCAACTATTTATAATACCATATTAGCAGATTAGAAAACAAAAGTATAGGTTGTAAGAAATATAACAAGTATATATTGCTGAAGGAAAATGAAACATAGATCAGTCTAAGGAGGAGGGTTATTGGACATGGCAACAACCACACAATTAGAAGTATCTGTGGACCAACAACCAGAAACTTAGGTTCTAGTTTCAGCTGTTATATTCATCCACCAGGTGGTATGACTTTGAACCAGAACCATACTTTATATAGACCATATTTTCTGAATGAGTAAAATGGAGATTCTTTTCTTTTTTGCTGAAGTTTTCAACATTTTCCTCAGGTTTTTCTTTCCCCAGAACTATGGGGAGCTTGAGCTTGAGCTTGAGCTTGCCAGGCAGGTGCCCTAACACTGAGCCTGCATCTTCAGCTCCCCACCCCCTTTTAATGTGTGTGGATGTCCAATTTATATTAGGCTTCCCATTTTAGCTATAGGCCTTTTTGTCCTGGTTGGCCTCAAACTCCCAATCTAATCTTCCCATATACTTTACACTAACAGGTATAAGACACTGTGTCTACCTATTGGTTGAAAGGAGTTTTTCAGCTTTTCTATCTGGGCTGTCTTGGTTCACTAACCTCCCTTTCCTACTCTCCCTAGAAGCTAGAATAACAGACATAAGCAACTAGTGTCTGGCTTTCCTCTCTCTGATTTCCTTTAATGAACCTAATGCTTATCAAATTTTTGCATTCTCTGTGGCAAAGGTTCTCAATTTTGTTCAAGACATAAGATAAATCTGTGCTTGAGTGTGCATTAGGATGTGTTCATTTCAGTTTTATTCAGTTTGTTTTACCTGGAGCCCTTCTGTGACATGAAAAGCTTGGATTAAGTGACACTTAAGAACCCATACTATTCTGCAATTCTGTCTTGGACTCACACACACCCTCCTATGGAATGGAGAACATTCAGACTGAGGCCAGCTCTCTGCAACTTATTTGGAGGAAAGTCAAAGGCAGTTGGCACAAGAGACACAGGTAGTTGTCTGCCTGAGAGCAAGAGTAATTTCAAGTCAAGTATCACTTGTAATTTGTAACCAGTGAGTGAGGTCCCTAGAAATATTTCTTTTTTTCCCTGCAATGAAGTTCATGTTACAGAAATGGCTTCCCAGGCTTAGAATACAGCCAACAACTCATTTCATATTTGCAGCTTTTAAATTCCTCTGTGGCAAAGGAAAATCAGTATAGGCATTAAAATCAGACCTAAAGGTACATTAGGATGTGCTAATTTTAGTTTCATTCCCATGTTCTTGGAGGAATAAAAATCAGGATTTATATTCAGGTTAAAAGCAAGACAAACTGGGGTTATACAATAGAGGAGTTACTTCTGTAACTAACATCTTTGAAAATAACCCATCAAAATTACCAACAAAAATTCTAACTGCATCTGAAACCACTGGGTTTCATAAGTGAAGGTCTATTGGCTTTATGATTTTTGTTTTTCCTGATTTTCTTCTTTCCTTTTCTCAAAAGAAACATAGTTATAGTCCAAAGAAAATGGCAGCATGATTTAATAAGTGCTTATATTCTATTACAGTTTTGAGGGTATTTTTTTTATAAGAGAACCATAGGAAGTTACATTTTCAGGAGGAACACTGAGGAAATAATTTTTATGGAAGGTGATTTAAGAACTGTTAAGATTTGAGAAGTGTTTGTGTTTTTCATTTTTAGACTGTTCTATAAGTAGGTTTAAGTAATACCTGCACTTTTCAAAAGTTTTGACTGCATATTTTTACCATATGCATGACTAAACTTTTAAACTTTAATATATAATTAGACATATAAAGGAGTAATTTCAGATTTAACTTATTACATAGGTGGTACAGATGTCCTTTTTAACCATATGTGCAGTAGTGCCCCCTTTTCTGTGGGGAATGCTTTCCAAGACCCTCTGTAATGCCTGGCACAACAGTATATCTGAACCCCATATTATATGTGTTACGCTTTATTTCTATGTATACGTACTTGCGATGGAGTTTAAATTATAAAGTAGGCACAGAGATAAACAATAACTAATAATAAAAATAGGACAATTTTAACAGTATACTGCAGTTGAAGTTACTTAAAATTTATGAATTGTCTGCTTTGAAATTTCATTTTTAATATTTTTGTCCTATGGTAGACTGTGGTTGACTACAGGTAACTCAAACCATGGAGAATGAAACTGCAGATGAAAAGAGGGACTATTGTAGTTCTAAGATTAGTATAATATTTATAAATTGAGTTGCATTTAAAGTGACTGTATGTTACTGGTTCAGGTAATCCTGTTTTGAACTTTGGGGACAATGTCCAGAAGTATACTCTTCTCCAGAAGTCAGGTGTGCTGGAAGGACCAAAGGGCCTCCTGAGGACTGAGGACTACAACTGAGGAGTTAAGGAAAGGGGTGCTCTTAGAGACTGCCTTGCCATAGTCAGGATAGCACCCGCCCCCCTCCCACCCCCCACCCCCACCCACTGTGGGGATGTATTTTATCCTCAAGTGAAAATAGCTTTCCCTTTTCAGGTATTATTCCCTTCCACCCAAATGAATGATGATCATTACAATGGGATACATTATGTGGGGATTGTTGTGATACATTTGAGTCTGCCTACATCTGCCACCAGGAGATTTCATTGTATCCGGATTAGACAGGAATTTAGGTTCCACAAGAGGAAAGGGAATGCATATATGAAAATGGAACTCATCCCCTGTTCTTTCACAAACTTCTTCCCACCCAGGTGAAAGGCCTCATGATCTCTCCACTTACCCAAACCTTCACAGCATCCCATTCTCCTTCAAAGCCTGTTGAGTTCTTGAATCTATGCTTTCTCCTTCTTCAGCTCATAGTTCAGTAATCTGGGGTCCTTCCCTTGTCGTTTCAGGCTAGAAGTGATACAAGCTTCCTGCTGATGTGGGTGCCTGGGAATATCACAAAGCCTCATAATTGGTGCCTTAATTCTGTCCACCTCCTTACTGAAGTCTTCAATTAAGCTCTTTTTAGTGTCCACAGTTTCCTGTTAAGATTTTGAAACTTACCTGAAGTCCTTCAGTGCTGTGCTTTCAGGATGAAATCTGTGTTCTTCTGGCATAGTAACCACCGCTTGCTTCTATAGCTGTGAGTGCTGTTCTGTTGCTGGACCCCCATCCATTTCACTTACCCCTAAAAGAATTCCTCCTGTAATCTGACTCATTTTCTGTCCCCTCAACCCAATTCTTATTGCCTCCAACTGATTCCATCAGTCCTCTATACCCGTATTTCATCTTTTCTGGGAATCTGCCTTTAATTTCTGCCCTCTACTTCAGAATTGAAAACAAGCTTTTCTCTATGCCCATAGCATACCCTTCATGTGTCATAGAAGTATTGAAACTGATTTGATACTTTCTGTATGTATCTTTGTAGGTTGAAAAGACTATAGGGCTGTAATTGGAATTTATTGATTTTGAAATATTAAATTATTTCTCTGAGTAAATTTTTAAAAAAGATTCTGGCAATGAAATATTTAGAAAACCATTTCTTTTTTATCTTAGTTCCAAGATGTAAAGCTTTGAAGGAAACAGATAAAATTATAGCTTCAGAGTCAGACTGTTACTGCTACAATCAAATGTCCCAAATGAAGTGGACATATATGTGGTCAACAGTACAGGTAAGGGCCCAATTTTAAATCATGTCTGAAGGACAGGGAATGAAAATGCATTTTGAAAATAAAAAGAACATTTTGTATGGACAAATAGCTGAGTGTCAGGATGAAAGCTGTCATGAGGGTCACACATGGTGACCCATGGATGGTGATGTGGGAGGGGGACATTAACTCCTCCATATGTTTCTCTACCCCTTCTCAGACCATTCAAAACTAACATGTAATCAGTGTGTCTTCTTCGTGGCAGGATAGAGCATTAAAAAGAGCAATCAGAATCGTTCTTAGTGAGAGAAGATGACATTTAAGAAAGATTTTAATACAGTGAGATACTGAAGACTGAACCCAGGGAAAGAATATTCTAGATTAAGGGTATAGCTTGAACATTATACCAGGAAGCACATGACACTTATATGTACCCTTTCCAATACCATAGACCTCTTTAATCACTTGATTAAGGTGTGGTATCTGGCAGGTCCTCCTACTTTAAAATGACTAATTTCATTAATGGGTAAGTAGTTTGAGGAGATAATTTGAGGCGATAATTTGTAGATACTCTGTTCCTCATCAAACTTAAACTCCCTAGTTGTATCATTCATTGGTATTGTTTGCCTGATTCAGCTAATATTCTAATTCCATTATTCTTTTACAAATATTGGCATTTCACCATACAGAAGAGTTTTTTCCTCCTACTAACTAATTAACAGTTTCATGAATTGCCAGATTATTTTGTGGATTTTCATTAGGTATTTTGAAACTCATAGTCTCCTAAATTTGGACAGAAGAATTCCTTTGAGGTAGTTCCTTTAACTCATGACTATCATTTTTTATTGCTTCTTTATTTTCTAACAAAAAGATGTTGCATGCTTATGTTGTGTTTTCCTGACCCAACCTTGCAATACATTTCATTTGTGGAGCATTAAATATTAGTTGTTTATTACAATTAAGATACCACTGTTATATATATGAACATTCATCCTCCTGCATATACATCTGTTTCTATCTCTTAGTTCAAAGTCATGAGTTCTGCTAAAAGAAACAGTAGTAGGAATTCAATATTTATTTACAATGTTTTATCTGTTGGTCAAGGATGTAATTTTAATATTGTGGGAAAAAATTACTTGGGCTAATCATTCTTACCTACCCTGTCCATATGGCTATACTATTCACTAAAAGTATAGTTTGTTTTTTGTGCTGGTCCTCGGGCTTTGAATTTAGGGTCTGGGTGCTGTCCCTGAGCTTTTATGCTCAAGGCTAGCACTCTACTACTTGAGCCACAGCTCCACTTCTGGCTTTTTGGTGTTTAATTGGAGATGAGTCTCTGGAACTTTTCCTGCCTGGGTTGACTTTGAACTGTGATCCTTAGATCTCAGTCTCCTTCCTAAGTAGCTAGAACTACAGATGTGAGCCACGTGCACATAGTTATTTTTATTTGTATTCATTTCAAATTTTTATTAACATCATGGTTGATTTCAATATTTTTAAATATATAAAAATTAGAATACCTTACAAGTTAAAACTCTCCATAAACTGGGCACTGGTGGCTCACATCTGTAATCCTAGCTACTCAAGAGGCTGAGGTCTGAGGGCTGGGGTTGGAAACCAGCCCAGGCAGAAGTCTGTGAGACTCTTATCTCCAATTAACCACCAGAAAACTGGAAATAGTACTGTGATTCAAGGTGACAGAGGACTAGCCTTGAGCAGAAGAGCTCAGCGACAACACCCAAGCCCCAAGTTCAAGCCCCATGACTGGAAAATAATAAAATAAAAACCCTCCACAGAAGTATTCTCGGAGAAGCTGGGTGCCCGGTGGCTCATGCCTGTAAACCTGGATACTCAGGAGGCTGAGATCTCAGGATCACAACTCGAAGCCAGCCCCTGTGGGAAAGTCCATGTGACTCTTCTCTCCAATTAACCACTGGAAAATCAGAAGTGGTGCTATTGGTCAAAGTGGTAAGAGCACTAGCCTTGAGTTAAAAAGCTCAGGGACGGTGTCCAGGCCCTGAGTTCAAACCCCGTGACTGACAAAACAAAACAAACAGACATATTTTCAGAGAAATCCCACACATCCTCATTTCTTCTATTTATTCCAACTCCTATAGGCAAGAAATCATAGTTTCTGGTGTCTTTCCTATGTTCCTTCTTGCAGAAAATAAGCAGCAATGCATTTTTATATGTGGAGAGCTGAAAATCAAGAGACAGAGAATTTAGATAGAGAGGAGAAAAGGACTGCATTGTTTTTACTATTATGAGGAAATAATGGAAGCCAACTTGATTTTAAAGAAAAAGGTAACTAGGATCTGAGGTTGTGTTCTGATCCTTCTTCAGTGGACATAATAAGAAGAGCTGGAAGTATACATGCTCAGTTGATCCGGAGGAAGGAAGTGCTTTTTCTTTTTACTTTTCTTTTTCTTTTTTTTTTTGTGGTACTCAGGATTTGAACTTAGGGACCTGTACTTGCTAGTTTGACCTGATGGCTGCAGAGTAGCCTCTAGCCCTGTTTTTCACTGGTTATTTTTAGAATAGAACTCACTTGTGAACTACAGTCTGCCAGTGTCTGTCTCCACACTTTTCTGTCTGAACTGATCGGATACTATCATCCTCCTAACCTCAGTTTTCCATGGAATGTAGGATGACAGTGTGTGCCACTGCACCCAGCTGTGGATTAAGAATGGCTCCACAAACTTTTCTACCCAGGCTGGCCTGAACTGCAACCCTCTTACTCTCTGCCTCTCAAGTAGCTAGGATTATAGGCATGAGCCACTAGAGCTCTGCTGAAGTGGTTTTTTTTAAGCACTGAAGAAGAGGGTAGAGATAGAGACGCTATTTCTCTTATCTTTATGGCCAGATAGTTTTCTTTCTATCTGATCCATTTTCTGTATGCCTCTTGGCCACAATGGCTTGCTGGAAGATAAGTTAAGTCAACCACAACTCCTGTCAGAAATGTCCACTTTCAACATGTCTGTGTTCCAGCATGTGCTTAGACTAAATGCAGGTATGAAAGGTCCACCTTGGGACCAGAAACCAGTCATGTGCATCTACATATTCTTTCCTTAATCCAGTTTTGGGCTCTCCTTGTTCTTCTTAGGTTTATGAGAAGCATTTTACTTCTGTGCTTATGGATTTATTTGTTCTTGTTTTGTAGGTGACAATTAACAGCTCAAGCATGCTCAGTATTGAATATATCACAGGCAGTCATAATTGCCAGTATCCAGATACCGTTGTATCTTTTATCAAATGTGTGATTCATAACTTTTGGGCACCAAAGGAGTCTAAAGAATTAACTATAGTCATCAGTCCATATGGGGAGACTGTGTGTTTCTCAGTAAAGCCTGTCAGGAAGATACTCGTTTATACAATAAGCATGAATCGAAATAGTAAGTTTATTTTTATTCTTTCTGAATTCAGTTTTTCTGCAATCACATTCAATAAGTGGATATGTCTTTTCTTTCAGCAGCAGTACATTGACACAAAATGTTCATTGTGTGTGTGTCTTTTGTTTTTCTTCCAGTTGTAGATTTCAAACTCTTCCTTGTGTTTGTGGCAGGCATTTTCCTTTTCTTTTATGCAGAGACCTTGAGTCAGTAAGTATTCATTTTTACAGTCTTGATATTGTTATTTGAAAGGTATTTGGGTTGTTTTTGACTCTAAGGTAAATATTTCCTACTACTTGGCATTTGTAGTTCTTATTTAGGTTTTGCAAATGACAGGTCTGAAGGTAATATTTGAAAGGTCTTGATGGATAGAACAGTTACTTGTATATACAAATGGTACAAAGTGCTTTTGCATACATTATTTTATGTATTAACATTTTTATTAGACCTCATAACTATGTGAGCTCTATATTGCTGCTTTTATTTTATCAATGAGAAAATTCTTATCCATCATTTCACAACTAGTTTTTCTCGGGGCCATAATTCAGCTCAGGTTTTATGAGCTTGCTCTCTCTATTAGATCTATTTCCTAGATTTATGACTGATATAGAAGGTTGAATATAACAAATATCTACCTCTTGCATAAGAACACTATTTTGATATTTCGTTTCTTCTAGTTTCTTTAATGAAAACACTTTCCAGTGTTTTACTTCTTGCTCTGTTAGCTAGAACCCAACATTCATGAGCCATCCCTAACCTTGTTTATTTTTGAACTTTTTCTTAGAGAATAGTCAAGTATGTTCAATATCATTCAGAAATATAAACTGGATAGTAAGTACATGGGAAGGGTTAAGATTGGACTCTTGAGGAGCTGATCTGTAATCCTGAATCCTCCAGATGTTCTCTTGGACAGGTCTTTTAACTTCTTAGTCTTTAACTTCTTGGTTTTCTCTATATAAACTTAGACATGGATAACTGTGAATGCATGGAAATACACGATAATGCCTGGTTATTACTGTTGAATCATATTCTCAATATTAAAGATAACTCAGACATTCTGTTTTGAGTTAGTACCAAGCTTTTTGCCATAAATTTCCAAATACTAATTTCAATTTTAAGAACAGAGGATGTGCTGGGCGCCAATGGCTTATGCTTCTAATCCTAGCTACTCAGGAGACTGAGATCTGAGGATCATAGTTCAAAGCCAGCCTGTTAGGAAAGTCTGTGAGGCTCTTATCTTCAATTAACCAGAAAAATAAGCCAGAAGTAGAGTGGTGGCTTATGAGGTAGAATGCTAGCTTTGAGTGAAAAAGCTCAAGGCCAGTGCTCAGGCTCTGAGTTCAAGCCCCATGATAGGTACAAAGAAAAAAAGAAAGATAGAAAGAAGGAAAGAAAGAAAGAAAGCAAGAAAGAAAGAAGAGAGAGAGGGAGAGAGAAAGAAGGAAGAAAAAGAAAGAAAGAAAGGAAGGTAGAAAGGAAGGTAGAATGTAATTAGACTTGCCTTCTGAGTTTTTCATTCTTGTTATACCTTATAACTATTGTTGCTGTGTTAAACATGTTTTTCATAGTAAACATGTTGATTGATTTTAAATGGCTTTTATCTGCTTGTTTTGACAGAAGCCCTGTTTTCTATTACTCTTCAGGGACCATGCTAGGTGTTCTAATGACATTAATCTTTGTCCTGCTGTTGATGAGACAATATATTCCTAAGGTAGGAATACTATGTGCAGTTGAGCTTTTAAAAAAAGGGAACCAAAATGTCATAGATAGGAAAAACTTACCAAGTTAATTCATGTTATGATAGTTCCTAACTCAAATTGTTCCTCTGTATAAACTAACTTCAAAATGTATTCCTTTCTGGGGAGTCCATTTTATGTTTATTGGTAATGATTAGGCTTACCTACTACGTATTAAGGTTTGATGACTGTTTTTTGAGATCTTTATATGTTTGAGGTAGTATGAGGTTTGTGTTTTTTTGGTTTTTTGTTGGTCATGGCGCTTGAACTCTGGTCCTGGGCGCTGTTCCTGAGCTCTTCGGCTCAAGGCTAGCACTTACCATTGAGCCACAGTGCAACTTCTAGTTTTCTAGTGGTTAATTGGAGATAAAAGTCTCATGGATGTTCCTGCCTGGGCTGGCTTTGAACAGCGATCCTCAGATCTCAGCCTCCTGAGTATCTAAGATTACAGGTGTGAGCCACCAGTGTCCAGCTTTTTTTTTTTTTTTTAAATGAGTGAAGAGACTGATTCTATATTGAGTGAAAACTTATCTGGGCAGAACTAGAAAACTAATGTTGCTGAACCTTCAGGGCATTGAAAAACTGCATTGCTACCTCTGGGGATTTCTCCTGTTCGCCAATACACCGTTAGTAATATTCTGAATTTAGTTGAGAATAAATAAGTATGAATTCATAGTGGTAATGTTACAATCACCAATTAAAGTTTGAAACATCAGCCTTATTTTGAGATAGCTTTTTTCTTAATAGTGCTTCTCCTCCTTTCCTGTGCCTGCTAGCCACCTACGGTCTCTTGTTAAAATTCTTAAAATTCTGGTTTAGTAGAGGCTTACATTTCCGGTGAGCTTCTGTATGATACTGATCTTTCTGTTTTGTGGGCCATGCTCTGAACAGCAAACCTCCAGAAGGATTCTTAAGTTGACTTCAGTTTGAGATAGAAGTTTCTAATACAAAGGGTTTATTTGTTTGCTTCTATTTTTATGAGAGTAAATGAACCAAAAAAAAATTGTGTCATTTATTTTCTTCCATACACAGTATAGCACCTTTGGGGCTCTAATGGTTGCTTGTTGGTTTGCTTCAGTTTATTTTGTATGCCAGTTGATGGAAGATCTGAAGTGGCTCTGGTATGAACACAGAATATATCTATTAGGTAGGTAAATGTCTTAAAAAACACATTCTGTTATTGGTGAAGCTTTAAATTAAAGTAAAACTAGAGAGACTTTTTGACATGCCTTTCCAGCATCTAGATTTTTATTTTAAATTAAGGTTCTCGTGCTATTAAAAATAATATATTTTTTATTTTATTCCCATAATTGGTGGTTTCATTTCATTTAGATCTTATTTTAAACTGTTTCCCAATAATCTTAGTTTTCTAATCCAGTGATCAAAAAAAGCAGAAATAACAGATTTCTCCCATTTGACTGAATGTACTTCTGAAGTTGGTTAAGTTCTAATTACATTTAACTTGTAATAGAGTGTGTGTGTGTGTGTGTGTGTGCGCGCGCATGCGTGTGTGTGTGTGTGTGTGTGTGTGTGTGTTGGTCCTGGGGTTTGGCTCAAGGCTAGTGTTCTACCACTCGAGTACAACTCCATTTCCAGCTTTCTGATGGTTAATTGGAGATACAGGGACTTTCCTGCAGGGGCTGGCTTCAAACTGCGATCCTCAGATCTCACTCTATTGAGTAGCTAGGATTACAGGTATGAACTATCAGTGCCCAGCTGTAACCGTTTTTTTAAAAACTTATACGTGACTCCTTATTTTCTTTTTCTTGATACTTTAAGCATGAAAGATAAGACATTATAAATATAAATGACCAATGAAAACAACTTTTCAGAAACAGGCTAAAAAAATTACCTCATTTTAGGCTACAAAAAAAGTCCTTTTTGCTTGTTTTTCTTAGGAAATAATGGATGCTGAGAGAACCGTTAGTACCAAGTCTCTTGTATAACACTTCTAAAATAAAAGCAATTATATTTTTGTTGTACTTGAAAATTTTGTTTTAGATCATTTTTCTTTTTTCTGTTAAAGTATTTTAGAGTAAATTAAAATCACGTTTCCCTAAATATTTACCTATTCATCAATAGCATATTTCTATGTGATCAACTAACTTTCATTTTATTCTTTGATGCTGGAGGCTGAATGAACCTAGATTCAAGTATGCTAAGCATGTGCTTACCACTAAGCCATAGGCTCAGCCCCGCTATTACATTTTTTTTGGGGGGGGGTCTGGTTGTGAACTCTGGGCCTGGGCGCTGTCCCTCAGCTCTTCAGCTCAAGGCTAGCGCGCTACCACTTGAGCCACAGCACCACTTCAGGCTTTTTTCTTTTTGCTCATGTGGTGCTAAGGAATTGAACCCAGGGCCTCATGCATGCAAGGCAAGTGCTCTATCACTGAGCCACCTTCCCAGTCCCTTAAATTTTTTAAATTAATAATTACATGAAATCATTTTAAACAGGCCATCTTAAATTTTTTCCAGTTGTCTTTAATGGCTGATGTATATAAACAAGGATATAGTGTGGAACCACATTTTGTATCAGTTATGTTCTGCAAATCTCCTTTAATCCTTAACAGTTCCTTTTTTTTTTTTTAATCACATTGGTATGAGGAGGAGAGTGAACTAATTGTCCTATAAACTGGTTGCATTCTGGATTTGTCTGATGACTCCTGTGTAGCATAATTTAACTTGTTCCTCTCACTGCCATATTTCCTGTAAACAGGAAATTAGATCTCAAGAATTTCTTAGATGCAAATCACTTTTCATGATTATGTTAGAGGCATTAGAATGCACTTAGAGGCAACGTGTATTTCACATTGGATGCCAGCTGAGACATAATATTACATGGTCACCCCATTAGTAATGATGGGCTGATCTTTGGATTAGATTAAGAAGATGTTCATCTGATCAGTTCCACCACTGTTGAAACAAGATTTCCCTTTTGTGACCAGAAAACAAGCAACCATGGTAACATATACCTGTTTTAGACATTTGACTACAACCAGACATGCTTAAGTGTCATCCTAATAATTATTACATATCCTAACTTGTTACAAAAGCCATTCAAGTGTCTCCTACAGGAGAAATTACCAGCTCTATATATGCTGTTTTTCAACTTTACTTCATTGGGACAGCACCAAACCAAACCAAACAAAACAAACTAAGGTTGTTTGATAGATTTTACCTTTAAGTCAAGGCTCTCATAGATTTTGCCCATAACTTTTCAAGTTCAAATTTACATTATTATACCTTGTGCTTTTCCAGGCTACATTTTGGTAGTTGGATTTTTCAGCTTTACTGCATGTTACAAACATGGGCCCCTTGTTGATGACAAGAGCAGAAGTCTGCTGACATGGACACTATGGCTTCTCTCCCTGGTTCTCATCTATGCTGGGATGGCCATGCCTCAGTGTGCTTATGCAGTTATGGTCTTCCTCCTGTCTTCCCAGTGCCTGTGCTACCCACTGAAAGCATTCAGTTATATGAGACGGTGTGTATCTTTTTTGTTACTACTGAATTTGGCATTTTATGCCCTGGTTTGGCTTCTTGTGTTGGGAGAAATTTTTGAGCACTATTTAATATCATAATTAAATACATTTAATCTGGAGATACCACTGTAAGAACTCTGAAGATTAAACATCTAAGCATCTGATCCCACTGTCTTCTGAGTTGTGCCACCAATTGCTTGGTACTTAGAACTCACTCAGAATTCACTAAAATCAGTGGTGAAATGTCTTGGGCTCAGCTTACCTAAAAAATTTATTTCAGTCTTCATTTCCTTAAAGACAAAAACTGTGCTTATAACAGTTGGGGCAGAAGAGAGGATCATAAATAATTGCAAATTGCAGTCCATTATTAAGGATTTTCTTTTAAGACTATGCATTTCCTAAGTGTAGAAAGAAAGATAAGGTAACATTGTTTTGTCTCTCCTCAGCCACAAGGTCTGAGTATCGGTTTTTGTGTCAGGTACACAGGGAGATAATCCCTGCTTTTGAGGTCTACCTGCAGAGACACTTATTTCTATATCTCTTTACTGGGGCTTGAACTCAGAACTTCATGCTTATTAGGAAGGTACTGTACTGCTGAGCCATACCTGTAGCTCCTTTTGGTGCTAGTTAGTTTTGAGATTGGGTCTTACTTCCTGCCCAGAAATATGCCTGGACCTTGATCTGCCTATTTTAGGTTTCCTTTTGTACCTATGATGACAGGCGTACAGTACTGTATCAAGCTTCTTTGGTTAAGACAGTTTCCCCAATTTCTGTCTGGGCTGTCTACAAACTGCAATCCTCTCAATTTTATCCTCCCACAAAACTAGAGGATAGGCATGGAGCAGTGCACCCAGCTATGGGTTGAGAAGGGATCTCATGAACCTTTCTACCTGGGTTGACCTTTAACCACAATTCTCCTGTTTTTAGCCTCCTGAGTAGCTAAGTTTGTACATTAATCACCAGTACCTGGAATGCGCGCACGCGCACGTGTGTGTGCACGTGCGTGTGTGTGTGTGTGTGTGTGTGTGTCTGTGTGTCTGTCCTGGGGCTAGAACTCAGGGCCTGGGCACTGTCCCTGAGTTGTTGTACTCAAGGCTAGCACTCTGCCACTTGAGCCACAATTTTCCTTTGGCTGATATGAGTCTCATCGACTTTCCTGCTCTGAGTCTTCTGAGTAGTTAGGATTACAGATGTGAGACAACAGTGCCCAGTGATTTATGCATTTTTTAAGCTTTAAGACAGACCTTGCCTGGGGACTATGGGAATATAAAGAAAGTCTAGGAAAGCATCCTAGGAGGATCCTAGGAAAGCATCCTAGGAGGAGCTGGACCTTAAATAATGAACCAAAATAGTCTAGTGAATAAATGTGGATGAATAAATCCATAAGTAGCTTGATGAATAGGTGGGCTTGGGCTGAATTAGGCTGCATCACAGGCCATCCTGAGAATCTAGTCTGGGTCTGAACACGGTGGACTTATTTCAGTAGTCTTCTGATACTGCCTGGTCAGAAGTTATAAATCCAAATGTGTCCAGATAGGGGGAAGGCAGAGTGATCCTGAGGACTGAAATTCTGCACTGTATCCACATGAAAAAGGAGGCATGACCACTCATTTTGAGCTGATAGTTGCCTGGTGGGAATATGGTCTTGCCTTGCCAGAATCTTCTGGCTTTCTAGATGTGGATTGCCATGAGAGTATGAATCCTCACAAGTTTTAAATATTGGCACCTAATCCAACTGAAGTAAAGATACATCCAATAAACAAACATCAAACTGGAGATTGTAAGTACACATGGGCTGGTGGGATTTGGCCTGGTGTCTTTCTACACAGCTAGGAGGATAGAGGGAGAAGCCCCTGTGGCAGGAAACTTATCCTTAGCTATCACCTGTGATCCCACAAGGACTGATGAGGACCTGACTTAGAGTGAAATGATGGCTTAAAAAGGGAGCTGGTGGATGTTGAATAAAACTGGCTATAGCAAGGAATTGCCCAAGACCATGCAGTGAGTAAGCCTGACAGCCAGGGCTGATCCCAGTCCACAGTTTCATGAAGAGGCATTTGAACTTGGTTAGAAACTCATAAAAGAAGGAGATAATATCTCTTGTTCCTTAATCCAGTTCATCAACAGTCAGATTTAAGGTTCAAAAGAAAAAAATTTCAATGAGGTTTTGGAAATCTTTGCTTAGATATAAAACCATACCAAGACATAAAAACCTCACTGATAAATATTACACAAATATTTAAAACATTTTTATCATTATTACTCTATGGTATTCTTGGATTATTAAATTTTCTGAAATTTATAATTTTCCTGGTAGAAAAAATTCCAGTCATGTGCCTCTCAACATGCAGTGAAAGAATGAATGTTTTTGTACATAAAAGACTTTTTCTGTTTTCCTTGAACATAGTCTCATTTGCCACCACTAGGTGGAAGTGCTACCCCACAATCCAGCTTGATTTACACAGAGTAAGTGATGAGTGTGGGTCCTAATGGAGCTCTGTAAAAGGACATAGGAGTTCATTTTGATTAGCATTGTCTTATATGATCTTATGCATGTAGCTATTAAGCCCTTTCAATTCTCTCCTAAGAATATCATCCTTTGTTCTCACTATGTGAATGTTTGGATTGTTACTTAATTAATCATGTCCAAGTGTAATTATTTGTCTTTTACTTTTTGGATTGACCTGTAGATTTATAGGCACGTTCTAGATACTACAAATGAGGGAAACGATGTAGCCTTTGTTTCTCTGGGTATAGCTTACTTTGCTTAGTATAATTTTTTCCAAGTCCTTCCATATCCTTACAAATGCTTTGTGCATAAGATGATATAAAATGATGTTTCTCGAAATGAACTCCAAGAAATGAAAGAGGTTTTTTTTTAATACTGTTTTGAGTTCTTTTTTTTTCTTTCCTTTTTTCTTTGGTTTATACCCTTCTGTTTTTGATTTCTGTATCCTTTGTCTTGTACATAAGTTTATCTGATTTGGGGAGGGGAACGCAAAGCACAGAAAGGTGGGACAAAGGATGAACCAATTTAGTAGTGAACCCCCCTAGACACGATGTTGGAAATTACTATACAACTTTGGGGGGAGGAAAGTCGGGAGGGGAAAAACAGGGAGAGAACGAGGGTGGGGGTGACACTGCTCAAAAGGAAATGTACTCATTACCTGACTTAATGTAACTGTAACCCCTCTGCTTCTCCTTTACAATAAACATTTTTTAAGCTTGCTTTTCTTTGCACCTAAGAAAAACAACAGTCCTAGCACAAGAGTGCAGACTTTTAATTATCTGAATGTGTAGCTAAAAATTACAGAGGTGGGCTCAGTGCCCGTGGCTCACTCTTGTAATCCTAACTACTCAGGAGGTTGAGATCTGAAAATCTGAAGAAGCCAGCCTGGGCAAAAAAGTCCTTGAGACTCTTATCTCCAATTAGCTAACAGAAAACTGATAGTGGAGCTGTGGTTCAGAGTAGTACAGTGCTAGCTTTGAGCAGAAAGGCTCAGGGACAGACCCTCAGGCTTTCTTGAGTTCAAGCTCCACAATCGATCAAAAGAAAAAATATTAGAGGTGGAAAATGTCCCACTCAGAAACTGATTTTCAAAGGCTTTAGAACATTTCTTATAAACAGAGAAGCATACATTAGGCTGAAACTGTATGTTGCTATGCTGCAGTCATAGTAATGACCATGGGAAAGTACAGTATAAGGGTTATACACAGGAAGTTAAATGGTATTATTGACACTATCTAGGAGATGTGTTTACATAAATCCTAAGGATTGAATTGGGCAGTAATCTGGCAACCAAATGCCACTTGTTTTAGGAAATTGAAGCAGTGGTTTAAATCAGAACGATTGGTATTTAAGTATCTCTCTGATGAAGAGTACAGAGAACAAGCTGAGGCCGAAACAAACAGAGCTCTGGAGGAGCTTCGCCACGCCTGCTGCCGTCCTGACTTTCCTTCCTGGCTGGCTGTCTCCCGACTCCAGGCTCCTAAAAAGTAAGTCCTGCTCAGCTCCTGCAGCCACAACTTGGGTTCCCATTAATGTGAAACTCCTCATATGTAAAACAAGCTATTTCCTTGGAACATAGATACTGTCAAAGTTACCTGAGGTTCTTTTCCCTCAGTGTTGACTTTGTAGAAACTATAAGTAAATATTGATCTGATGTGTCATATTGGTATGTTGTTAGGTACTGACATTAAGCAATGAATAATAAAACTAAATTTATAAAAATGGAGAAGGAATTAGCAAACAGGAGTGGGCACATCTCACTGTACTTAAATCTGGCCTCTTCTCTACCCTTTCCCCAAATCGTTACCTCCAAAAAGATCACATAAGCCATTTCCCTCTCTATTCACAATGTAAATGTGACCTTTATTGACACAAAGGCAAATTTAATTAAAGGGAGTAAATAGGGCACACAATTTTCTTCCAAATAAACCTTTGTAATTTTTTTTTTATTAGATTTGCAGACTTTGTTCTTGGAGCAAGCCACTTAACACCTGACGAAATCAGGCTGCATGAAGAACAGTATGGCCTCGGAGGTGCCTTCTTGGAAGAGCAGCTCTTTAGTCTACAGACTGACAGTCTGCCAACAAGTTGACTTCACTTTGGTCAAGGAAGTGGGTAAATGGCAAGGAGCTTATTACAGTTCTGATAATCAGTGGAAGAAGCATGTACTATGGACAAAAAACACACACACACACACACACACACATACTAGAAGGAAAATTAACCTGTATTAAAGAGAACTTACTATTTTTGGCAAATTCAGCTACTAGTTGTACTATAGGTGGGCTTCTGGAATCAATGATAGTTATTGCCACTCTCCTTGAATGTAGACTAATTAAGAACAACGGAAAGTTCTTGAAGGGACAAGTAAGCATGAACAGGTACCCAGGTACCTTCTCCATATCAAAATGCTAAATCCTTTCTTAAGAAAGACTACATTACTATTCATACATTTCACCACTGTCAGTGGTGGGAGCGATCTGGTATATGCTGGACTAATGTTTTCCAAAAAGTACAGAATACTAATAAGTGTTAGTAAACAAATTCAACAAAGAGTCATACAAAATTAAATTATGTTGCAGGACTTTAAGGCTTTTAAGGATATTAATGTACTGTGAGTCTATAGGTTTTTTTTACTTCATTTTACCAGACTTTATTTATGAGATTAATGATCTTTGGAACACATGTTTGGAAATTACCAGTGATGGTGGAATTGAAGCTTAGGGATGGTAAATAAATTATTCAAGACCTCAGAGCTGTTTGAAGGCAGCACTGGCAGGACTCCAGCCCTGGTGTGTCCTATGACTCATGTAAAAGCTGGAGCACCATTTTCTTACAGCCTTGGGTCTCTTGGCATCTTTTTAATGTCTTATATTGGCCAACCAGTATTTGATAACTGTGATAAAGGGAAACAAGATTATATTTTAAAGTTTTGATAAGATTTTTATGCATATTTAAGGATTAGACATTGAGAGGATGCTACACTTTTTGTGTATATTGATATTGAAGGCATTTAATCTTTTGTGGCATTTTGTGATTCATTTAAAAAATTGTTTGGCTATTTTTTTCTTTGTTTTTCTTTTCCTTAAAACAAATGCTCAGTAGCCAACTACTCTGACTGCTAAAGTTGTAGGCATGGGTTCCAGTCCAGGAAGAGTGCTGGCGCGAAGGCCTGGCTGGGGTGGTGAATCCAGTGACCTGCAGCAGGTGGTGTTGGTGCCATTGCATGGTTGCTTTTTTTTTTTGCGGGGTGGGGGCGGTGGGGAGTAGCGGTGGGGGGAAGCCAGTCGTGGGGCCTGAACTCTGGGCCTGGGTGCTATCCCTCAACTCTTCAGCTCAAGGCTAGCGCTCTACCACTTGAGCCACAGCGCCACTTCCGGCTTTTTTCTTTTTGCTTATGTGGTGCTAAGGAATAGAACCCAGGGCCCCATGCTTGCAAGGCAAGCGCTCTACCACTGAGCCACCTTCCCAGCCCTTTTTTAAAATTTTTATTTTTTTGTCAGTTGTGGGGCCTGAACTCTGGGCCTGGGCGCTGTCCCTCAGCTCTTCAGCTTGAAGTTGGATTCTCCTGGTTCTCTGGAGAGTAACATCTTGTGCTGCCTGCTAGGTTACACTGATACTAGTTTTTCTGCTCTTATAATCATGGTCGGCAGAGCCTGTTTTGTTACAGCTCTCTTTTTAACTCTAGCAGGCAATGCCTGCTAGTTACAGCTCCACAGCAGGCCACCACAGTTTCTATCTTCAGGTTCTAGAAAAATGAAATCCATGGCAATGAGGCATGAGTGTGAAAGTATGTAATAACTCAAGTGAGAAGAAAAGAAACAGCGTTCACCAGGCAAACAAAGTCCCAGAAGAAGATGAATCGTGTGTGTGTGTGTGTGTGTGTGTGTGTGTGTGTGTGTGTGTGTGTGTGTGTGTGTGTGTGTGTGTGTGTGTGTGTGTGTGTGTGTGTGTCCTGTGATGGGATCATAAACAATGAAGAATCCCTTTTATCAAGAGAAAGGCAGAGTGATGGAATAATGCAGAGCATTTTGTCACTCACTTTTCTGAGCTATATTTATTAGAGCTTTTCTGAGTTGTTAAATAAGAATGAAGCTAACCATTTAGAACTTTCTAGATTGATTTTCAAACTATATTTCCTCTTTTGAAGCGGTATGTCACTTTTTATAGGTCTGTTTTGCTCGACATCTTTTAATATTATGAGCCTTTAAAAATTTTTTAATACTATTTTAAATCTGTGCCTTCACATAAACTTTGATTTCAAAAGAATCAAAGAACACTTTTTTAATTTGCTTATTTGTATAAGCATTAACAGGAGTCCTAACACTATTTTTGTTACAGTTTAATCTGATTATTATGTTTTATAATTGTATTTATTGGTGCTGTATTGTAAATGCATCAGATGTGCCAATGCTGGTGTTAACCATGTTCATTTCCTAAGAATCAGTTTGTAGTATAAAATGTGTTTGAACAACAAACACTTGAGCATCTGTTGAGACTACCAGGCCCATTTCCTCCAGGACAGCCCTAGGCCTCACCTGAGCCAGGTTTAGAGAGGCTGCAGGGGCAGAAGCAGCTACAGGCTACCAGTGGGCCAGGAAGCCATCGTAACCATCACAATGATAACAGCTACAGAAAGAGGGAAGAACAAAGGGGAAAGTGTCTTTCAGGATATTATTTTCCATGTTAATTTTAGAGAAAGTTTGGATTTATCAGCTTCTGTTATATGAGTACTATGAGAAGCTAAACAATTAAAAACATTATTGGTGGTATATTTGATGTGTTTTTATTGTGCTTTTCTGATTTGGATTTATTACTGATGATACTTTTAATCCCCAAGAAATGTGCAGATTTTTCCCTCCTTGCCTTCTTCACTTCCTTTTTTTGTCTTCCTCTCTCCTCCTTTTCAGTCTTTTTAAAGGTCTTTAAGTAGTTTAAATGAGCAGTAAAATGACAGTGCCCTTCTTAGGTAATTGATGTTAGTTCTGAGCTTTACATCATCACAGGTGTGTAGTTACTGAGTATAAACAAACCTTTTCATGTGTTCTTGCTTATGCTATTCAACACTAAATGTGTGGCTGAGAAGCAGAAAAGGGTGGTTATGCTTAAGCAACCATATCATTCAACTGTTAGGCTTGAGGCCTCATTATTCACTCAGTTTTGGGACTTAAATCTAGATAGCCTTCTGGTCTCCAAGCCCATATTACCAATGCTAGTTCTAAAAAAGATCCTTTAAAAATAGATTGTCCTGGAGCTGCCATAGGTCTGCCAGAGCAGCCACAAGCTGGGGGAGTGAGGTGCCCACCAGGACTGGCTCCCATTTTCTCACTCACAGACAGGAGCAAGTTGTACAATACCTTATGACTTGAGACTCCCCTTTTATGTCTCTGTTATGCCCCCATCTAAGCATCAGTCTCCCAGCTGCCCCGTGGCACCTTTAAAGCTTTGCTGAAATAGCATGGAAGCAGTTAAGGGCTTTTGAAGTAGCCTTTGCCTTGTTGCAATGCCTCAAAAGATTGATGAACTTCTGGATGGAAAAATCACCTCTTTTCCATATAATCATCTGCCACAAGCATACCCTCATCTTTACAGAATAACAATGGAAGGTAAAGGAATTAAGGAACAGAGGCTATAAGACGACCTAACAAAGCAGTCACTTCTTCCATATCTCTTTTGCATAATGTGCTGGCCATGGACCACCAGTCGCTGTTTAAAATCCGAAGTCTTGATTCCTCAGATACACAAACCAAGTGTTGGATTGCCACATGTGGCTCATGGTGACCATCCAAGACAGTATTAACAGAATTTATCATCTCCTTAGTAAGATCTATTGGACTTAGAATCTATAAATACTATCACCTTGGATGCAAAGTTGGGGATGTGTTGGCTTGCCCTTCTTGACTCCAATGGCTCTGGTTTTCCGAATGTCTGCTAACCTTTGGGGAAGAATAGAGTTGCCAGATATCTAAGTTACCTCCAGAGTGTAAAAGCTTTGATCATCTCATAATTAAGGCATCACAAATTTGATGATGCTGGCTTTGTGATTATCTAGAAATCCATAGTAGAAAAACTATGTATATATTTATAATAATTATATATAAATTATAAAAACAGGGGATATGGCTCCTGTGATAGAGCCACTCACTACAAAGCCATAGGCTCAATCCCTAGTACTGCAAAAATATAAAATAGTGATCTGTGGTTTCTGTAAGGACAAAATGATAATCTCATAAGCACGCAACAAGGACACAATAATGGATGCAGTTATCTTTTTAAATATTCACTGTTTAACCCTAGATTGGCTGAGAGGAATTTTCTGAAGCATTGGTCCCCAGCACTGCCAATAGCCTGCACCCCATGTGGAAGAAGCAGAAAATCCTGAGCAGCTTTCAGCCAACTCTGCTTCATGTGGCTGTGGCACCATTAACAGACTAAGTAAAGCAACACTCTTCTTCCAATGAATTTCTTAGGCTTTTTCAGAGATATATTGCCTACTGAGATGTATTATAGTTCTTATTTTGCTTAAGGCTTTAAGGAATAGCTTAATAATTAGCAGTTAACCTCTTTGGATCTGCACAAATTCAGCACTTGGGGTAATTGTTTTTATGATCATAGATGAAACGGCAGAAAGCAAAGTTAGGAAGGCAGTGATTACCATCCTGGGCTTTTTGACACCCCTGAGTATTTCTAGTGATCCCAAGAGGGACTATAAAATTCTCAAATCAATATTTAATTTGAATTCACTTTAATATATATATATTTTTAAAGTGGCATATGGCACTTTGAGGGCAGGAAGAAAAAGTCACAAAGTCCACAAACATAAGGGTGTCAGCTCAAAAGGCTGGACATTTCTGCATTATTGGATCAACGCTCACAGTAAACATTTCTTAACAAAGGCATGTTGAATTTGGTCTCATTCATTACAGAGTAAAGGACGTTTACTTGTTTGGTCACATCTTCATCCCTTAAGAAATATTTAAAAATCATATTTCTAATTCAACATGTCCTCTTGTGCATTTCCAAAACAGCAGGCTTTTTAAAAGAATAAGAACTGTAAACACAAGAAACAAGTTTTTGACTTCCTACAGTCAGGTTCACAAATCCACATACTGTACATTCATAGGTGAGGTTCAGCCTGTCACCCACTTCTTTGTTTCTATAATTACACAAGCATAATAAATACATCTGATCTGAAAGGTCACTTAAAAATGAGTCATGATAATTTACAGTACAGTACGATTCAGTTCAAGTGCAAAAATAACTGTCTGCTTAGTTCTTTTTCTTTCACTTACTTTAAGCTGTGTTTTGTGGTGAAGCTAGACTCCAAATGTAGAATTTCTTCTCCCACACGCAGAACTGTTGTGGAGAAGCCCTCAGTTTACACTAATCCTGTTTTAATCAAAATGTGAATTTAAATGAGTTGCTTAGTTCTATCTTTGCTCTTTCCTGTGCTCAGCCACGGCTGTTATGTAGGATAGAACTGATCTTCATTCAGCTAAAGCAGTATTCCCTTTCCACAGCCCTCGCTGAGGCTTCCTACTAACCTCCACTTTCATTTTTTTTTTTAGCAGCAAACATTGTGTGATTCACCAGCCACTTTCTATGGTGGTGGTAATATATAGTTGTATACCCAAATCCCAATTTTCCAGTGTCTGACTCTTCTTGGGCAAGACCATACCAAGATTCATTCGTTTAGTCATTAGAAAGTACTCTATTCACATCCTTTCCATTCCAGTTTCCTACTTACCACCTCACAAACAAAACTGACTTACTATGTAATTTTTAAAAATTATATCCCTTCCCCCAGGCACTTATGTCTTATACTGTTCTTTGTAAATAGTACTGCTTACTTAAAGAACCCTTAGGAATTCAGTGGTTTTTGCTTGTTTTATTTCATCAGCTAATTAGAGCCCAAATCACTACAAAATATTAAGCAGTGATAGAGGCTATTTGTAATGTCAATATGCTGAACAAACCCTTGTTAATCAAGCCACAGGATATTGAGTTGTTTTCTCTGAAATATTCCCCCATTTCTGGTCATTCTTAAAACCCAACTTAAGCTTGAAAGCTCAACTTAGCTTGTAGTAGTCAGTAACAGCTTTTTTTTGCTCCAAGAGTTGACTGGTTTCATTACATACCATACATATATAAAAATACATTTGCTAGAGATATGTAAAATTTATTGTGAAGTTTTTAACTTAAAAAAGCATATGTACTGCTAACTTATCTGGCTACTTTTTAAATATATCTTACAAGTTTTAAATGGTTCCTTTCAACAGACACAAAATTATACATGTACTCTTCCCAGTTTGTATTGGGAACCCAATAATCAGAATAAATAATCAGAAGAGGGAAATTATACCAGTCTCCATCATGAAATCCTTTGGTTCCCTCTACTTAGTGTAAACTGTGGCTTCTACCTTTCCCGCACCCGCACATGGCTGTAACTCACAAAGAACTCAGAGCCCTTCCTAACTGCTGCTTCCCTTAACTCCAGTGGAACTGTGGAAACTTCCCTTTTCCTGCCTACCTGTACTGTAGCTCGCATGTGTGTTGTGTTTCCATGATGATGAGTAGATATTTAGAGTGTATGAAGAGGCATGTTCTGGGTTGGGGGCTGCGCTTTCTGGTGTCCCACAGGAGGAGCCCCGTCCATGCAAGGTGAGAGATGAGGAGGCTGTTCTCAGGGTCCTGCAGTGGCAGTCTGAGCCCGCTGCTCCTCACCTGCCTCCACTCCAGGGGCCCCACTGCGGGGAGCAGGGCTGGTCTGCGTCTGAGATGCTGCTGTGTCAGGGGGTGGCTGGTTCCTACGTGGGTCGGAGTGAGTTTCACGTGGGACATGCTGGGCTCCACCAGTTGGAGAAATTTCCCGATTCTCACTGATCTCCTGGAAGGAAAACAGATACCCCAGGGTGAGAGAAAGCAAGCAAATCCAACCCACGTGTGTAGTGAAGCAAGCCAGCAGACATGGGGAGATCATCCTGAAGTGCTCATTTCAGGGACAAAGGAATAGAGGAGTACGAGTTGAATGTCTTACCTTTCATCTCCTTTCCTAAGTGCAACTGCCAGAGCCGCATGAAAAACACAAACACTATAAGCAGACATGTTTTGTGCATTAAAGAAAATTATTATCAAAATATCTGTTACTACTAGATAAACATAGGAAATAGTTACTGAGCTGTTTTACCCATTTTGCAAGTCACTATCCAAGGGCCTTGGGACAAACTAAGCCGCTTGCTAAGACTTTACAATACAAGAGCGAGAAGTCATTCCATTAGTAAGTAAATAAGAAATTGATTCTCAGCCTTAGAGACAGCTATGAAAAGAAATGTCCTCTAACAGTCCTAGTGTATTCTTGTGATTTCACAAGTCATACATGTCAAGTAAGAACAGTAAGTATAAGCAAGTACTTAGGTAATCAATGGTAAGTGACTGAGTATACACAGTCCAGTGCATTTTTGTAAAATGCCATATTCATTTTATAAGTTAGGAAACATGCTTTAAACAATGATTGATTCTGATTTAGGGAACGCCATTTCCAATAGTTGAATACAAAATTACTTTTTAAAGTCTTCCTCCCTCTCTTTTAAAATTTTGGATGCTCCAAAACTACTTAAATATAAAGCTGACATGGCCTATCAAGCAAAAGACAGAAACTAATAAAGGGGGAAGCAGATTGATTCCTTTTGTCAAACTGCTCAAAAAGTCACTCATTATCCAAAGTTAGGATATAGTTATTATACAATTCTAAGTGAGTCAATGTGGTTTGACTTTACTTTGGAAGAACACCCCTCTGGGAACACTTGTTTTTCAGGTAAGGCTATTGCAAATGTTCCACTGAATTAGGTGTCCCATCAGATCCATACAGTGGCTAAGTTGTTAGTTAATTTAAGAGATACTTATTGCATTCCTCCTATACATAATCTCCCACTGGAGTAGCGGAATTATAGAGATAAATATGGCCTCCAAGAGCAAGAACTACACATTCTTGCTGCAGCTGGTACACATCTACACTGAAATTTAAAAGTATGTATGCAGTTGTATTAATACATAACCTGACTTATAGAATTATAACCCTTTGGTATACCCCTTAATAATTTTTTAAAAGACACATGCAAGGCTGGAATGATTTATTCCTTTCAAGAATTGTCAACACCTTTGTAAAGTTTCCTGAACTCCATGAAATAAAATTTTCCCTCTATGGGATCCTGTAAACACGCTTAGAACACAGTTTTTACAAATAGTTATTTGTTTGCATGTCTATTTTTTCCCTCTAGGCCTTCAATAAGTCTTGATGAATAAAAGACAAGCAAATGAAGGTAACATCTTAGCCCAGCTGAGGGTTACCTGTAAAGGCTGTATCTCAGAAGCACGGTTGTCTCTGGTCAGTTGTATCAACTCTTTAACTTGATAGAGTGCGTAGACAAAGGTCACCCAGGGAGAGGAGCTGACCCCCCAGGCTGGTTTGTTCACATCCTCTTGTTCTTCCTGGTGCTTGGTTTTCTTGGGTGGAAGCCTGGGCTCAGTGCGCGGCATGACATCTTCTGTCTGTTGCTGTACCAAGTCAATGGTTGCTATGGGAACAGGACTGGAGGGAACAGGAATCCTTTCCGCCAGCATTGTCTTATCTGAGGAGAAAATTTTGATAATATTTTCCAGAGGTTTTTTTTTTTTACACATTTATATAAAGGTTAAAAGAAGCAAACCAAAGACCTGATGTGTGGTGATGCACTCCTGTAATCCCATCTACTTAGGAGGCTGAAAATGAGAAAAACTAGTATTGGTCATGTTTCCTGAGGTACTCAATGCAGTTAAAATCTTTCATAGAGGCTTCTGTAATAGCAAGTTTTTCTCTTAACAGAAGCACTTCAGGTACTTGAGATTGGTGCTCCTGAGAGAACAGGACACCTGAAGAAGATAAGTCCTATAATGGGACCAAATTGCTGAACAAGAACACGGTATTTTGCTGGTCAGTCTTTTCCATTAAAAAGCTGATGTAACTTATTCTCACCTACATGTTACGTTTGATATAACCTCCCCTTTGCATAGTAGGGCTTGCTTTGTTTTTGTTTTTGTCCTGGGGCTTGAACTCAGGGACCTGGGGCTGTCCCTGAGCTATATTTTGCTCAAGGCTAGTGCTCTACCACTTGAGTCTCATCTCCACTTTGGCTTTTTGGTCATTAATCAGAGATAAGCATATCATGGAAGTTCCTGACTGGGCTGGCTTTTAACTACAATCCTCAGATCTCTGCCTTCTGACTAGCTAGGATTCCAGGGCTGAGTCGCTGGCACCAGTTTATATGCGGGATTTAATAAAGGCCATACTTGGTTCCGGGGAAACTTGAAGTTTCAGGTTTAGACTTTCTTTTTTGAGGGAGGGTAAAGGCATAGAGATTAATAACACCACTGCTCTTCCTAGCAGTAAAATTACTATTAGCTTTATATGTATGCGACTTACAATTGAACCCCCTTCAGAATACCATAGAAGTTTAAACCCAGAACCTCTCTAGTAGCTTGCACTGAGAAACAAAACAAAAAAAGAAAATTTCAAACTTCAGCATTGTAGATGGCTTCTCTCTAGCTGGTATATGAGTTCATTGACATACATCAGAAAATCTCACTAAGCAGGCCTGTGGGACATAGTTACTACTTACAGGGCTTTTGGGGGTTGGGTGGGGTGGGGTGGTTAGGGGGCTGAATTCCCGTAGTTTGAGTCATTTGAGAAAGAATGGGAATTTACCTTCTTCTTCATCTGGCACTGCCAGCCACTGGATCAAGGCGAAGAGCAGGAGGATCACCAGGCAGGCCATGCCAATTCCTCGGAAGGTTGCAGCAGCCCCTTTGAAAACAAACAGAGCTCTCTGCAGAGTCATACCAGGAAATCGAAAGAACTTCATCTATAACTCAGTCTTCTAAAGTTCTTGCCAAAGGAAGCACAGAGAAGAGCACCTTCCATTAGCTCCAGATCATGGGGAAACGGATGGCAGGAGACCCTGGTGCTGGTTTTGGTTCTGAGGCTGATAAGTTTATAAAACTGTATGTATAAAGGGCCATCCCTAAGTGCCTTCCATCATGACATATAATATTCAATCACACTTACCCACCTAGGAACAAACAGCCAGATTCAGCTATAGTTGAAACAACAGAGCTTAAGTCATGCATAAATTCCCAGAGCAGATGACAGAGTAGTCAAGAACCCCATAGCAGAATAATGTTCCACCTTAGCTCTGTATTTCCAATAAAGGAAATCTGATGTTGCAGGCTGTGTTACACAGATGTAATGACATGAACAACATCAGTGAACAGTTACATTTTTCTGGTTCAAAGTCTCCTGATGGTATCAGATAAGAGTGATGAATTCCTTTTCCACATTATTACCAGCAGGTTTGGAGTACCTTACTTGAAACCCAAAGCACACAAGTATATTATCTGTTGAGCTCCTGTGAGGTATTTGTTTACTGTCACAAGTTGTACAGTTGTGGGTTGATTGTAGCTTTCTAATTGGCTGTAATCTTAAAAACCTAAATATATGCTTTACAAATATGACTACCATGAAATCCAGAAAGAGAATACATATACTAGAGTTTAGTTTCTGGCAGTCTTTAGTAATAATTTCAATGCTTATTAAGGTATTGCTCAAAACCAAACATGTTTTTACCGAAGGAAAAAGAAAAAGCCATTCTTACCAAAGTAATTGACTAACACGCCTCCGATCATGGCACCACAACCTCTCCCCAGACCCAGGTGAAGGCCCTGCAGGATGCCCTGGGCAGATGTCCTCAGCTCAGGGGGAACAGCAGCACTGAGGTAAGAAATGCATGCTGCCCAGATGGCCGCGTGTGTCACTCCTGGGGAAGAATGAGAGCACTTGAATGTCTGCTCAGAATGCTTAGGTTCTGAAATGTGAACTATTTACCTAGGTACCTGTTATAGAATAGAATAATCACATGTATATATTAGCATAATATACATATTCTATGGCATAATATACATAGCAAAATGTATCATCTTAGCCATTTTTAAATATCCAATCCAATGGTATTAAGTACACTCACAATGTTGTGCAACCATCATCAGTGTCAAGGACAGCAATCCATGAGGAATGAAAGACAGAGGAGGAATCCTCTAGGTTTCTGTTTGGCAAGAGTCTAAAAGATAGAGGGTATGGAGAAGAATCTCTGAATGAAGAAGGTTCTAGTAAAAAGTCTAAAGAGAGAACGATGTTAGAATGCCAAAGCAGAAGGCCAGAGAGGGCAATACTTCTTCAGGGGGGCAGAGGAGGAGACAAAAAAAAGCCCCCAAACTCCAGAGACTGTCAGTTCCTGTGAAGTATTTAAAAGCATGTGGAGAAGCTCTCTGAAGCCAGGCGGAGAACTACCTAATAGCATTATAGACAATACTTCAAACCCAAATGAGAGTGGGAACAATACCACTTCCCAATAGCTAAACTGGAAAAATTCTAGATTCCTGTGTCTGGCACTCAAAGGGGTTTTTTGTTAGTATTAAAAAGTCATCTCTAGACTCCACATTGCTCTATTCTCCCCTAATAAGTTTTAAAAGAATTATTTTTAGTATAGCAAGTTTACAATACAGAGAAATAGAAAAAGAGAAACATTTCCTGCTCCCCATGCAAGAAACGAGAGTTAGTCATCTAAGTAATCTTAAAGGTTAGACCCAAGTGGTAGAGTGCCTGTTTAACAGACACAAGGCCCTGTGATTTCAATCCCCTGTACCACCAAAAGAAATAAAGAGATGGTGCTGATTTTCTTTTCAAACCTTTATTATTTTCAATATCATTACTACTTAGTAGTAGTTGTTGTTATTGTATAAATTTCAAAAGTATACCAAGAAAACTAATTTATTCAAAATTAGATTTAATAATAAACTACATTTGTGGATTATGTTTAAGAAATGATTTGAGACTAGAAATCATATTAAATGGCTATAGGTTAAATTGACTGCTGACTATGAGCAGTCAATTGCAGTATTTACAAGTAGACTAAGATGGGCCCGTGCCCATCTTATATATATATATATATATATATAAAACATTAAAATATATTTTGTTTATACATCAAATATAATTCTTGAAATTATTCTGTAAAGCACAAAGGCTGTGTACACACACAAAAAAAATTGATAATAAGGCTCTCTTCCTCTCTCCCTTCATCCCTCAACTTTTTCTTCAGAACTGAGTTTTCTAAAGCTTTGAGTCCTCTAAGATAATTAAAGTATTTTCCAGCACAATGACTTTAATCAGGATACTTCTAAGCTATTTTTAGAATGTGTTGGCTGGCATTCGTGGCAGTTGTAAATGATTCTTGCCAGTTGGATTTCCAGAGATTCCTTATTGTTTGGGGGGGACTGATTAGGTAATCAAGAGCTACATACTTTAGTAACTTAGATAATTAACTGAAGGAAAGACAGTAAATCATATAGTAAATTCTTTCCCCTCTGGTACTTTAGCAGAAGAAAAGCTACTCTGCTGGTATGCTCCAACATCTTCCATGGAAGATGTAGGAGTAAAATTAATTTCTATGAAATAACTTATTTAAAAACATTGTGTCAGTGGAAAAATCAATTAAACATATCCCATATCATAAAAAATAATTAGAAGAACTAAGAAACTGAAGGGATTGGATTGGTAATAACACCTCAAGAGGCAGTTGTGGAGTTATTGGTTAATGATTAAACTTCAGCAAGCCCCTCTCCAGAGATTTTATTAATAATCTCAAACTCTTGCCAATGTTTTACTACAGTTGTGTTCTGGTCCTCTGATGTTACAATCTACCATTTTCCATTAGACAAGATTAAAGAAGTCATAGCACTTGTGCTATCTAAAGAACCTCCTTGTAAAATTTAGAAAGTAAAAATATCATAAGCTAGGAAAACAAAATAGTTCTCCTCTCTTATTAGAGAACTGTGAAAAAGGAAGAGATGATTATTCTCTGTATGATGAAGTGAAATACTTCTGTATCATGTACATTAGACCTACAGAATTTTAAGCCTTTAAGTAAGAGATAGATATGTTCCTAGATCAATAAAAAAGATGTTATTGTCCCAACTGTTATTGTCCTAACATCAACTTAACTATCCTATAACATGTCTTAACTCTTCCCTTGTGATCTGTCATAAATCTACAGATATAACTTGAATAATGATTTGTCATCAATTCATGTGATAGTCGCTTAGTAAATATGTGAAAATAAGTAATTATTCAAGATCAAATAGCTCAATGCAAACTTTGTATCTATCTTTTCTTACCTTTGAGTAGGATTGTAAGGATTAGCTTTGAGGCCTAATGGAAATAGAGGTATTTCCATAATACTTACTTCCAGAAACAACTGTTTATTGCTGTGTTGCACTTGAATAATCCAGAATCATGAAAAATAATTAACAATGTCACTTTCCATTACTAATATTTCACAATCTGCTTTACAGGGAATTATGTTATTTTGCACAGATTATTTCATTTACTTCTAATCACAGGCACTATTTTTTTTCATTTTTAAAAAAGGAAACTGAGGTATAGGGAGATTAGGGTGCTTTGTTCCACGTTACAGTCACTAGAACAATAGAATAGATCTGAATCTAAGCTGTCTTAAGATCAGAAATGTTTAAATGCTGTACTATATGTCCTCATAATAACTATTCCAATATTCTATAATATGTTTAATTTATCTGTTTTGAGAAGTTTTGTTTTATAAAACAAAGTTTTATAAAATCAAACATGACCAATTATTTGCTTCTTTCTTTTTTTTTTGGCTGGTCCTGAGGCCTGGGACTTCAAGGCTAGTACTCAACCACTTGAGCCACTTCTGGCTTTTTCTTTCTGTGATTAATTGGAGATAAGAGTGTTACAGACTTCCTGCCCAGGCTGGCTTCAAATTGTGATCCTCAGATCTCAGCCTCTGAAGTAGCTAGGATTACAAGTGTGAGCCAACAGCGTCTGGCTCTTATCTGCCTTCTTAAACAGATAATCTTACTACCTTTTCCTCTCTCTAAAGAGCTGATACACTTTATAGATTATCAGACTTTTAGTATATTTCCCAGGACTCATAACCTTACAATATTCAACAGTTGTACCATGTACATGTTCTGCAACATGTATTTCAAAGTCGTCCATTCTTAGTCCACATGACTTCTCTATTTCAGTCCCCTTTGCTCACGTAGACAGCTGCTTTGTGTAAAACACTGCTTGGCTTGGGGACTCATGTCATAATGACATCCAAGTACTGGGAACTGGTATTATTTTATTTTTCTTGTTTCTGCTAGTGGAGTAGGCCCACTGAATAAAATATATTATTCCTTTAGCACCTGCACACAGAATCAGCTGTGGCAAACCTTTTCCACTGATAGGCCAAAGTATATCTCTTAATCAGTTCAATGAACTTCCCAAGTGCAGGGATTAAAAAATGCTTCTGAAACATCAGTGTAGTGGATATCAGTAAGAGTGCTTTTCCTAGGACATCAATAAAAGAATGAATCTGTTAAGTTTCAGAGTCTTAGGAGTTTTACAAGTGAGTGCTAAACTAAGGATGCAATTACATACATCTGAGAACAATTCAGAAAAAGAGATAATGTGGGATACAACTGCCAGGAAAGGATTTGGGGTAGAAGATACTTCAAATGAATAGTATATGGACAAAGTAATTTTTTATTTTGAAGAAAATGTATTATAAGAACTTGAAGTATCTGTAAAACAGAGGGTGATAAAGAATAAAATTACTGTATTTCATAAGATTTGGGTATAAAAGTTAATGCCAGTGAATTCTGTACATGTTTATCAACTGAAATAAACTCAGAGTATTGGTGTATTGTAGTTGTAGCAAACCACTTGTGCTTTAAGGGTTAATAAGCCAGAGAGAAAATTTCCAACCCAGGTGATAACAGATTAGTATCATGTCTAGTATTTCAATTTAGGTAAGAGCTAGATAGTAATCCTCTTATAATTTTTCTACACTCTCTGAGAACACAAGAGGAAAGAAGACATGGTTCTTATTTAGCTGAATAGGCATGTTGTATAAATCAAACACAATAAAGCCTCATAAATGTCACAGCTCAGGCCCTCCTACTTATGACATTAAAAAAGCCATCTTTCATCAAAATCTTAACCCAGCCCCCACTGCTAGAGCATCTTAGAAGGAGAAAGCTTACTCAGACCTTATTTTCACTGCTCATTGCTGTAGCTATTAATTCAAGTGACTCAAAAGGACTTCTTAATTGTAGAAGCTCTGGTCTGGCTTTACTATCCTTTAAGCACATTCTAATAGCAAGAATAATTTTTATCACTTTCATCTCTTGAGTTTTATAACAACTACTATAACCAATACCCAAGCAGAAAAGAAGCATAACAAATTTGAGCTTGATTATTATCACGTTTATATTTCTATCAAAATCATGAATGTTTAAATGCTTCTTGTGCAAATGTAAAGGTAAAATTCTAATTTTTTTTTTTTTTTTTTTTGTCGGTCGTGGGGCTTGAACTCTGAGCCTGGGCGCTGTCCCTCAGCTCTTCAGCTCAAGGTGAGCGCTCTACCACTTGAGCTACAGCGCCACTTCCGGTTTTCTGGTGGTTTATTGGAGATAGGAGTCTCACGGTCTCTCCTGCCCGGGCTGGCTTTGAACCGCGATCCTCAGATCTCAGCTTCCTGAGTAGCTAGGATTACAGGCGTGAGCCACCAGCGCCCAGCTAACTAAAATTCTAATTTTTTAATGAGATCTTGATTAGTAAATATAAATGAATCTTCCCACTGTTACCATCATGCAGCAAAAGACTTAAGGTGCTTAGACCTTTTTAAAATGAACTACAGACATCTTGTGAGCAGGAAGTACGTCTTCAGTTTAT